TGTAAAATCATTATTCACCAATGTCCCAGTGGAGGGTGCATTAAGATGTCTAGAAAACCAGACTTCGCGAATTTCATTTCTCTTGCATCGAAAATTGATGAGCTAATTTCTCTCACTCAACTCTGTTTGAAACAAACACATTTTTGTTTTCCAAAATAATATTACAAGCAAACTGAGGGATTAGCCATGGGAAGCCCCCTCAGTCCCATCCTGGCTGATATCTACATGCATTATTATGAATCAAAATTGTTTGAAACTTTAAACTTCCCGGCATGGTTCCGCTACGTAGACGATACTTTTACCCTGTTTGAAGGTAATAAAGATGATTTAAATAGAGTTCTTTCAACAATGAATTCTATTGATCCTGCTATTCAGTTCACTTTTGAACTTGAGACTTGCAATTCTCTTCCGTTTCTCGACATTCTGGTCACACGTAACACATCCAACTTCAGTACTACATGGTTTACCGTAAACCTTCATCGGTTTTGCCTTCCACCACACTTTAAATCATGTCATCCGACTAAACAAAGTTAGCTTCATTTTATTCCTATGTTTTCCGTGCTCTTCAAGTTTGCTCCTCCAAACTAGCCCTTGATGAAGAACTAAATTATTTTAAAAGCAATAGCTATTGACAGGGGCTTTTCACCCAACATTTATTAATCCAGCAGTTAAAAAATTCTCATCTCAACACACTAAAAGGCCACACTCTTATGTTTTAGGAGATTATAAAAATTCTGTATGTCATTCCCTGCTTTCCATCAATTAGCTATAAAGTTGTCGCACATATTTTGCAGAAATTTAACTTTCGGGTTCGCTTTATTCCTCCCATTCAATAAAATTCCGAATTTCTATACTCAAAGGTCCCATTCCGGATAGTGAATTCCTGGGGTATTTTATAGGATTCCTTGCCAGTGTGGTTTAATTTACATTGGCCAAACTAAGAGAGCCTTAAAATTTCGCGTCAAAGAACATGAGGCATATGTTAGAAAAAAGGAAACACAGAAGTCTTCTGTTGCTCAACATTGTTGGTACGAAAATCACACTTTCAATTTTTCTGCTGCCAAAATTATTCAAAAAACATCTTCCATTGGAGAACTGGATTTTCTAGAGGCATTTCACATTCATAAAAATCTTTCTGTTCTAGTTAACGATCCTAATTCCAATCCAAATTTGCCTTCGGCTTTTAGAGAAATTATGTTTTAGTTCTGGTTTTGCCAACAGATGGCGCCACTTGCTTATTCTTGTCCAGGCTTTCTTATCTTATCTAATCATTATTTCCTATCTTGTTCATTTGTGGTTTTGCAGCTGAAGATGATGGTTCGGTAAAACCATCGAAACTAGTCCTGTGAAAAAATTTTTGTAGGTATAACGCTGATTTTTGTTGTTTGACTTCTGAATTAGTATTTATTTGGCGTGTTATTGTGTCTAATTAAAGGACCATATAATCCGATCCCTGAAGATCCCTCACCTTAGTACCTCTCAAAAATAAAAACTGCGATCATAGCTTCACAAATCCTTTCAAACAAATTAAAACAGTGTGCTTATCCAATATTGCGAATTGTGCCAGATTATATGTTCCTCCCAAAATTCATAAAAGTGGTATTCCTTTCTGCCCTATTGTATCAATTTAGGCACTGCCTCGTATCCGTTACCTAAATGTTTAGTTTCTAGATTTTCAACTCTTATTAAATAATAATTTGTAAAAGAGGTTTAAAAGCATTTTATGGTTTCTTTTGATGTAAAATCATTATTCACCAATGTTACAATGGAAGGTGCATTAAGATATGTATAAACCAGAGTTCGCAAATTTCATTTCTCTTGCATCGAAAATTGATGAGATAATTTCCTTCACTCAACTCTGTTGAAACAAACACATTTTATTTTCCAAATAAATATTACAAGAAAACTGAGGGATTAGGAATGGGAAGCGCCCTCAGTTTCATCCTGGCTGATATCTACATGCATAATTATCAATCAAAATTGTTTGAAACTTTAAACTTCCCGGTATGGTTCCGCTACGTAGACAATATTTTTACCCTGTTTGAAGGTAATAAAGATGATTTAAATAAAGTTCTTTCAACAATGAATTCTATTGATCCTGCTATTCAGTTCACTTTTGAACTTGAGACTTGCAATTCTCTTCCGTTTCTCGACATTCTGGTCACACGTACACATCCAACTTCAGTACTACAGTTTTACCGTAAACCTTCATCGGTTTGCCTTCCACCACACTTTAAATCATGTCATCCGACTAAACAAAAGTTAGCTCATTTTATTCCTATGTTTTCCGTGCACTTCAAGTTTACTCCTCCAAACTGGCTCTTGACGGAAGAACGTAAATTATTTAAAAGCAATAGCTGTTGGCAGGGGCTTTTTCAACTCCAACATTATTAATCAAGCAGTTAAAAAATTCTCATCTCAACACACCAAGAAGGCACACTCTTGTTTTAGGAGATTATAAGAATTCTGTTGTCATTCCCTTCTTACCATCAATTAGCTATACCAGTTGCACGTATTTTACAGAAATTTAACTTTCGGGTCGTTTATTCTTCCATCCAATAAAATTCCGAGTTCCATACTCAAGGAACCCCATTCCGGATAGGAATTCCTGGGGTATTTATAGGATTCCTTGCCAGTGTGGTTTAATTTACATTGGCCAAACTAAGAGAGCCTAAAATTCGCGTCAAAGAACATGAGGCATATGTTAGAAAAAAGGAACACAGAAGTCTTCTGTTGCTCAACATTGTTGGTACGAAAATCACACTTTCATTTTTTCTGCTGCCAAAATTATTCAAAAAACATCTCCATTGGAGAACTGGATTTTCTAGAGGCATTTCACATTCATAAAAAATCTTTCTGTTCTAGTTAACGATCCTAATTCCAATCCAAATTGCCTTCGGCTTTTAGAGAAATTATGTTTTTAGTTCTGGTTTTGCCAACAGATGGCGCCACTTGTTTATTCTTGTCCAGGCTTTCTTATCTTATCTAAATTATTCCTATCTTGTTCATTTGTGGTTTTGCAGCTGAAGATGATGGTTCGGTAAAACCATCGAAACTAGTCCTGTGAAAAAATTTTTGTAGGTATAACGCTGATTTTTGTTGTTTGACTTCTGAATTAGTATTTATTTGGCGTGTTATTGTGTCTAATTAAAGGACCATATAATCCGATCCCTGAAGATCCCTCACCTTAGTACCTCTCAAAAATAAAAACTGCGATCATAGCTTCACAAATCCTTTCAAGCAAATTAAAACAGTTGCTTATCCAATCTATTGCGAATTGTGCCAGATTATATGTTCCTCCCAAAATTCATAAAAGTGGTATTCCTTTCTGCCCTATTGTATCAAATTTAGGCACTGCCTCGTATCCGTTACCTAAATGTTTAGTTTCTAGATTTTCAACTCTATTAAATAATAATTTGTAAAAGAGGTTAAAAGCATTTTATGGTTTCTTTTGATGTAAAATCATTATTCACCAATGTTACAATGGAAGGTGCATTAAGATATGTATAAACCAGAGTTCGCAAATTTCATTTCTCTTGCATCGAAATTGATGAGCTAATTTCCTTCACTCAACTCTGTTTGAAACAAACACATTTTATTTTCCAAAATAAATATTACAAGAAAACTGAGGGATTAGGAATGGGAAGCGCCCTCAGTTTCATCCTGGCTGATATCTACATGCATAATTATCAATCAAAATTGTTTGAAACTTTAAACTTCCCGGTATGGTTCCGCTACGTAGACAATATTTTTACCCTGTTTGAAGGTAATAAAGATGATTTAAATAAAGTTCTTTCAACAATGAATTCCATTGATCCTGCTATTCAGTTCATATTTAAACTTGAGATTTGCAGTTCTCTTCCGTTTCTCGACATTCTGGTCACATATTATCACATCCAACTTCAGTACTACGATTTATCGTAAATCTTCATCGGTTTGCCTTCCACCACACTCCAGATCATGTCATCTGACTAATCAAAAGTTAGCTTTATTTTATTCCTATTTTTTCCATGCTCTTCAGGTTTGCTTCTTCAAACTATCTCTTGACGAAGAAGTAAATTATTTAAAAGCAGTAGCTATCGACAAGGGTTTTTCACCCAACATTATTAATAAAGCAGTTAAAAAATTCTCATCTCAACACACTAAAAAGCACACTCTTGTTTTAGGAGATTATAAAAATTCTTTTGTCATTCCCTGCTTTCCATCAATTAGCTATAAAATTGCACCTAAACAGAAATTTAACTTTTGGGTTATTTATTCTCCCATCAATAAAATTCCGAGTTCCATACTCAAGGACCCCATTACGGATAGGAATTCCTGGGTATTTACAGGATTCCTTGTCAGTGTGGTTTAATTTGCATTGGTCAAACTAAGAGAGCCTTAAAATTTTGCATTAAGGAACATGAGGCATACGTTAGAAAAAAGGAATCACAGAAGTCTTCTGTTGCCCAGCATTGCTGGTCTGAAAATCACCCTTTCAATTTTTCTGCTGCCAAAATTATTTAAAAAGCATCTTCCATTGATGAAATGGATTTTCTAGAGGCATTTCACATTCAAAAAAATCTCTCTCTTCTAGTTAACGATCTTAATTCCAATCCATCTTTGCCATCAGCCTTTAAAGAAATTATGCTTTAGTCCTGGTTTCATCAACAGATGGTGTCAGTAGATTGACTCCTGTCCATATTATCTTATTGTATCTAATTACCATTTCTTATCTCATTCATTTGAGCTTTTGCAGCTGTGGATGATGGTTCGGTAAAACCATCAAAACTAGTCCTGTGAAATTTTGAAAATATAATGCTGATTTTTTATTGTTTGACTTCTAAATTAATACTTGTTCGGCATGTTATTGTATCTTAATTAAACTGCATTTAATTTGAATATATTTTTTTTAAATGAAGAGTTTTTTTTCATATTTTATTGATTGGAAATAAATGTTTTCAGACTCGTACCCCCCGAAAAAAAAAGGATTTAATGGAATTTGCTTTTGTTAATTACAGATTGCATGTAAATTACATTGAGCGATATGGAACTGTTACCACATATAATGGTAATAAACTTGCTTCGGTGTTAAAAGCTGTAGCAACAGGTAATAAATATATTTATTCAATCTGTTTCTGGATATTAATATGATATTTAATAATTTTCTAGTTTTGAAATAATTACAAACAGGATCTTAATTAGATTTGTGATTACTAGTAAATTTTCTATGTGATTGCATTTTATTGAAGAAAAAAAAATCAATTTAAAGATACAAAATTTGTTTTTGTTTATTTATTTTAATTTAAGAAATGGGATCACAGTTGAAAGAAGAATCACTTGAAGTTTCAGCAGGTGAAAATGCCTGTATAGGAGGGAAGTGTAAATCTGTAAGTATTATCATTAGAATAAATTTTTATGTTATTTTTTATATGGTGAAGTACATTAAAACATAACGGAAGGAGTAAGAAAAGAAGATTGTGTTATTATCTCTCTTTCTTTTTCTATAAAAATATCATTTTATATCACTTTGCTAAATTGGTACTATGAGAACTCTGATAAATTGCTCCACGTTCAAAGAACTGTGTTAAAGTATTTTTAAAATTTTGTATTTGGCACCTAATATGGCAGTGTAAGTTATTATTGATTTAGTACAACACAATTTTAAAGCTGTTTTGGAATCAAAAATTTGTATTCTTTTATAGTAGGGTGAAGAAGTAAGAAATTGAAATAAATGATAACATTATAATGAAGAACTTATGAAAGAAAGTATTTCACCACTTGAGCATCATCCTGCCTTAATATTTAATGTTGGTTGAGTTACCAGTAATCAAGATGAACAGAAGACACAATTTTTTACTGATGCTTTAAAGATGGAAAACAGAACAGATGCAGCTTATTTTAAAACATGAGAAATCAATCCATGTTTAAAGTTGACGTTAAAAACATTAAACATGGACTAGTTTCCTGTGCTTAAAGTTATTGCTAAGGTCATAGAAAATTTCCTTTTGATGGCATTGTTAGTGTATTAAAAAAGAAAACATAACCTTTACACAAGGCTGGTGTTTTCTTTTGATTCTTCAAAATTTAAATCAAAGTTTATATTTTTCTTTACAATAAATAACATTTTATGAGAATTCAAACTTGAACTTTGTTGGCTTTAAAGTCATTCTGATTTACTGAGCCATAACCCAGTTGACAAAATAACTAAAATTGGCTTATACAGAAAATTTTCCCATTTTTCAATAGTTCTTTAACAAAAGTAAGAAATTAGTTGTAAAATGGCTGCTTTTGAAGCAGAGGTTCTTCACTATATGCAGAAGGGTCCAAAAAATGTGCTTACTGTTTGTAATTAAATAATTTCTGAACAAAAAGACTTACTCACTAGTCTAATGCTTAATATAGTGTAAGGCAGGATTTCTTAAACTGTGGGTCGTAACCCCCAAGGGGGTCGCTGCACCTGCAGCAGGGGGTCACCAAAAATGTTAGCAGTTTTGATATTTCTTTAACTTATTATAATAATTTTACAGTTACCAAATATTTTTACACAATATACCTGAAAATAAAGATAAGACAATACAGACAAAGAAAAAAATGAAAACGTTTCGATGCATTCTTTTTATAATATAAATGTTAATTTTCTTTTCTTTGCAGGTGACACTGTCATTTCGTCTGTTACTTATTTAAAATTTTCAGATTGTTCTTAAAATCAGAAATTAAAGTTAATGATCTAAAACTGCAATATTATATTACAGTCCAAGTGAAAAAAATTGACAGTTTCACTCACGCGTGTGTCGGATTTTCACTACTTATGGGGTCCCACAAAATTTTTGTAAATATTATGGGGTCCTGGAAGTCGCGAAAAAATCTCGGTGATAAAAAGGGGTCACGACTGAAAAAAGTTTAAGAAACCCTGGTGTAAGGTGTTAAATTTGTCACAGCAGGCAGAGCTGGCAATTTATGCTATGCATCGACAGATGGTTGGTGGTGGAACAAAAAACAAGAACAGCAGTTTTCTCTCCTAGATTTTTCCATTGCTTAAATGGATGTTTTGGCAGCTGATGAATATGAATACCTGTCAATAAACCACAATGTTATTGATCTTGACATGAAATGGCATGTGCAAAATGGTAAAATAAACATCAGCATGGCTCCTGCCTCATCAAATTCAATCAATGCCTAGATTTCTACCTCATGAAATTTATATATGCACTGATTGCATGAAAGATGCAAATGTTTTTAACAATGTTAAATGATATTGGTAGTTTTATGCCTCCTGTGTTATCTGATTTTAATCTGGGAAAGTAAATTTTGTCTTTTTGTTTTGATTTGATACAACAGTTATTCCTTTTCATTGAAGCTTTATATATTGCTGAGGTTTTTGCCACTACCTAGCTAGCACTTGTCTTTTGGTAGAAAATGGTTTTCAATAACATCATTATAAATATCATATATAATATATTTTTAAATATATGACAGTTGCAAACATCTAAAAATTATGCCTGTAATATTTACCTGTATAATTTTTCCAGTTTATGTCACGTAGTTAGTTCTCTTACATTACATATATTATATATGTCATTTATTTTGTATATTTATGTTATGTTGCTGTGCTGTACTGATGTCTGTATTGCAATATAGTATATGATTGGGTTAATTTTATATATAATAAAATTTTTTACCTATAATGCTTCTAGTGCCAGCACAAGGCAAATAAATAAATGATTATTTATTGATTTCATGATTAGTTGATTCTTGGATAAAACTCTTATGTTAATTAACAGATTAAGCAAAATGGAAGTGGCAATCATAAAAAAAAAAAAAAAAAAAAAAAAAACTACACACACACATTTAGATTAAGCATTCCTACTCTGAAAATCCAAAATTTTTCTAGCATTGACAAGGAGTTGGTAGTTACTTTGACATGCTTTTCACTCAAAAATAGACCACTGAAATGTTCCTTGAATACTGATATGCAATGAAAATCATTTGAACCCAAAAAAGACTGTACAGCTGATGGCTCAAAATTTACATTTTCAATGTTGAGAAAGTTCTTGAGTTAAAGCAATTAAATATAAGCCTTATCAATTGAGTAATAATGTCTTCTGAAAATGGTTAAAAAGTGATGATATCTAATGGCAGTTTATAGCCATTTTAGTATTGTTCTATATACAGTTTTATTAATTACTATTCTTCTTTCCCAGAATATGAATCACAATATTTTTTTTTCATTCAAAACATGGTAGCCATCACTTTACTAACTGATATTATTGTTCTGGATTACTGATGAAAATCGTGTTACTTCTTACTTATACATGGCAACAGTAATTTATGAATGCTTCCAAAATATTTGGTGAAAGATTGGAATTATGACATAATAATCTGTCATAATTCCAATTCACTACTAAGGGCTTTCACCTCTTCTCAAATGAAGAACATCTTGGTGATAACAAGATTTTTCGTGATGAGATGTCAAAACAGTAGCAACACAAAGGCAGTAACTACTTGTCCCAAGCTTAAACAGAGGACTTGGTTTTTATAATGACTATGTGGTGGAAAAATGCCTGTTAGGAAAGACAGTGTATAGAGTATTACATTGAAACAAATTGTTGAAGTAATTATCAGTGTAAACCTTTTTTAGGATATATCTTTATGTAATATATCAGAATATGCAGACATGAGGATATAATGTACATGCTTTTTTACACTTAGCTTCTTGTGGCAGTCTTGTTTCATGAAAATAAATATAAAATACATAAATAAATAAATGAAAGAATTAATTTGTGGTGAATGTAAAATTCAAGTATAATGGGTGTAAAAATAAGTTTTGAGCTTTTTTTTTTTTTTTTTTTTTACTTTGAAGCTTTATTCTGAGTGTCTAAAAGAATGCACTTTATTCAGAGTATTGTCCATCGTTAGCTACGACTGTTCCGCATCTTTCAGGTAGCATACAAATTCTGCTTTTAAAAAATTCCTCGTCTTTTGAGGTGATCCAAGAACCGACCCAATTTATGGCTTCTTCGTATGAAGTGAAGAGCTGCTTGGCCCAGTCATGAGTCATTGACCGGAACAGGTGGAAGTTGGAAGGAGTAATGTCTGGTGAATACGGCGGGTGGGATAGTACATTCCATTGAAGCGCCGCCTCCAAAGTTTCCTTGACGACTTTTGCAGCATGTGACGAGTGTTGTCGTGCTGAAACATCACTTTTCACGTCTTTTGGCATATTGGGGGCATTTGAGTTTCAATGCTGAGCTCAGTTACATCAACTCTTGTTTGTAATGTTCCCTAGTGATGGTTTCGTAAGGCTAGAGTAGTTCATAATAGATCACTCCAACCTGATCCCAACAGAACATTAGCTTCTTGCCATGAATATTTGGTTTGGCCATTAAAGTTGATGCATGGCTGGTCTTACCCCACAATTTTCTGCACTTTGGGTTGCCATAGTAGATCCATTTTTCATGATTTGATTCAAAAACCCGTCATGATTTGATGCAAAAACACCTTCCAATTTTGCCTTTGGAGCAGTTGTGCACACGTGAAACAACAGCGTTCAACATCTCTTGGCCTTGAGTTCATACGGAACCCAGTTTCCTTGTTTTTGTACTATACCATGGCCTTGAGACGCTTTGAAATCGCTTGTTGAGTCACTCCCAAGGTTTTGGCGAGCTCCTCTTGAGTTTGGCATGAATCTTGGTTCAGTGTCAAAATCGCCACTTTTAAAACATCGGAACCAGTACTCACATGTTTTTATTGATGGAGCATGTTCCCCATATGCTTCAGCAATCGATGTCCATAAGCTGCCATTTTTTTTTTTTTTTTTTCAAATTAAAACAAAAAAATGAAGCGCTTCCGGCAAATTTTTTTTTTTATTGGTACAAAGGTTGACAATGGTTTGAGCACAAAGAAAGTTTGTTGTTTACATTTTAGTGAAATGAAACAGACTGATTTTTAGATGGAAATACTAGTGCTTTTACATGAATATATTTACAAGATTGCCCAGTAGGATTTAAAACTAGTAATGCCATCTTATGTAAATTACATTTCTTTTGCCATGAATCACAGAAAATGTTATTTTTTAAATGATTTCTAAATAATTTAGATTTGTTATATCTTTATGACCTTTGTTTAAGTAAAAGAAGAACATGTAATGAAATGTTTTAATCTCTATGAATTTTATTGATACACCATCAAAATTTATGCATATAATATTATTATACAAGTATTAGCCCTATAGTTTTGGACATATTTTCACTCTTATATGAAGATAACATTTGCTTTCCTTTTTAGCTGTCTGAACTGATTGGAGAGTATGGCAAAAACTTACTTCCAGAGAACTTGGGACAAGTCAGATCTGCTGCTGGATTCTTAAAGTTACTTGATGGCTTTCGTAGAGCATCTAAAAAAGAATTACTGATGACATTCAAAAATACAGATGAAAAGATTCTGTAATATAAACCTCTTCAATTTTCTATAATTTACCATAATATATCTTGAGATTTTTTTACTTTTTATTTATTTTTATTTTAACTTCTTGTGGATTTTTAAAAGAAAAAGTGTGTAAGCAGTAAATGTCACATTATAGAGTAACTTCAGACATTTCTAGTTATTTAACTAGAAGTTGTATAAATTAAAGAAGTTTGGTTTGAGTTCTTCATTAACTTCTAAGTCATGTAAGTTAAAGAAAAAAATCAAAAAAAAAGTTAGAGCCCCTTAGTGAGTCATGTAAAAGTTACTGTGGGTTATAGAATCATTTGAAATATTTATTATAAACTTACTTAGACAATGAGAGTTTTTATCTATCCAAATAATATGCCCACTGGTTGCCAATTGTAACACGCTGCTAAATACTGGTAGATCAACTTATGTTCAGATTTCAATGCACAGACTGATTGCATATAGTTTTCATTGGTTCCCCACTGGTGCAATATAAATAAGACTAGTATGTCTTAGAAAAATTCTTAATGAAGTCTTCCCTATCTTTAGGCATATAACTGTTATATGCTTTGTCTTAATTAATTAAGCTGCCATTGAGATAATATTGCACTCTCGTCATAATACTTGTAGCATATTACAAAAAGTGTCAGTATAATCAATATAATACAAGAACTGCTGCTCACTAACTTTTTAATGAATTTAGATTTTATGCATTTGACATTTATTTTCAAAATAATAATAATAATAAATTGCATAACATTTATTATACATACACCAAAAGTTTTGACAATTTTTTTCATTAAGATAAGTCTTAAGAAAAGTTTTAGAAAAAAAAGTTTTGATTTAAATTATTGTTAAATGATATTGTTACTTGTAGATTTAAATCATTGTTAGGTGATTGTTGGCTGTAGATTTTTTAATGGAATATAAGCATAAATTTCAGTCTTAAAAATAGTGTGATCTTAGAGACATTCCATTTATTAAAAAAATATTTTACTCATTTTTTGTGCAATATATCAAGTTTAATTTTTCCAATTAGCTAGAGGCCCACCAGCGGCCGAGTGGTAAAGTCGCTGAACACTGGTAGTTCGGTCTGAGGTTCGAATCCCGCGAACAAGCTGGGTGCATGGGTGTTTTCGTGGTTTTCCCTATGTGTAACGTGTATACGAGCCAGTTTCCCATAGAAAGTCCTCCATGAAGGCATCCCTCCCCTTAGGCAGATAGCCCTAATGTGCTTTGCCATAATTAAATACACCACCACACCAATTAGCTAGAGTGGTTTAACAAAATAATCTCTTTTGTCATGTTGTTGATACAGTTGGAATTAATGCTTTGAACAGTAGGAGTTGAATGAAAATTTAGCCATTGGGTAAATTAGATTTTATTCTGAAGTTTGTATTCTTAATAGGTGTCCACTACATCTGCCCCCCTAATGGCATTTTCTGAAATGCCTGAGATGACTTATGTGTATTATTGCATTTCTGGTGATAGGCTTTTTATCTTTCAAGACTATATAAAGCATAATGTAGAAATCAGTTCTTTATTTTTATGTTAAATTTTGAGAGCTTGAAAATAAATAATAAAAAAATCTAGCTTTTTTTTTTAAAAAAAAAAAAAAGCACTGCATGTCCTGTGCATCTGAAATAATTGCTTATACAGCATTTGATGTCAGCAGTAAATGTAATATAATAAATAGAAAATTAAAGTTGTTAAGAGCTAAGCAATTAAAAAATTCACACACATATATATATCATATACCTTTTCTATTTTTAATTCACGGAAAAGTTATTTTTAAAGTTACTGTATGTATTGCTTCAATTTACATGTAATGAAAATTTTCAACCCCTTCATCATTGCTTAGGAGCATCATTGTGGGATAAAAGGCAGTAAAATAATCTTCTTAGATTTTTTTAAATTATGAGTTTATATTAATTTTAACCGCTTCAAGTTTTTAAGTTATTATATAGTAAATTGATAAACACATGGATGTAAAGAAAGTATAAATATACTCACATTTTTTTATGGACACAGTGTCACTTTAAATTAATAATTAGTTAAACCTCTGTCTGGCTACATACAAGAATTAATTCAGTTTTATTTTTGACATATGCAATTTGGCTAATTCAAGTAAGTTATAAAAGCTAAGCACGTCTGTTAAACATATAACATTCATACAGGATTGTAGTGACTGTATTCACTTATTCTTTCTTCATACATATTTATTTTCAATGAAAAATTTCGTAGAGTAAATCTGCATTAAGATTTTTGATTTTTTTGTTGATTTATTCACTTTTTTAATCATGATATAATTTTTAAGTATATGCAACAAATATTGTACATATTTTACATTTACATATTGTATACAATTTAAAATTTTGTATTTTTTTCGAAAAATAGTAAATTTCTCCTGAGCAATGATAATAAATGAGTAGATAAATATTGTATTGTTATATATTTTGTATGGAAATTTATTGTTTATAAAATTCCATTTTAGTTAATTTGTATGTATAAATAATAACTGATTTGAATTTTTATTTCACAGAACTCAGTTGCTTGATATACTAGCTGCTGCTCAAACAGATGATTCATTAGATGTAGCATTTCAGTTAATAGATTTTGAAAGTAAAGATATTGAAATAGCTGAACGTTTCTTGCTGTGCCTTGCAACTGTTCCTTACCCAAATGAAGTTACTATCACAAAACTTTTGGTAAATATAATGGTTTTATATTTATACCAAGAGTGATTTATTTTATAATTAACCAATTAGTATCCACCCAGTTTGCTTATATTGTATCTTACATTATGAAATACTGAACCTGTAAATTGTATCTAAAAAATTTACCCTTGAGACGTATACTTCAGAATTTTTAGTTAAATTACTTAATTCTTTGAAAGGATTAATTATTGCAGTTCAGTTATTTTCATAGCTGAAAAAAGGATAAACTAAAATGGTTTTTACAAATTCTATAGATTTAGAGAATTTTATAATTATTAATTTTTATAAAGTGAATTTTTTTTTTCAGCCAGTTACGTCTGTTTAGTGGTATTTTGAGATTTGATTTATTTTTTATACTATTCAAGAAGATATTTATAACTTTAACTGACAATTTAACTTTTGGAGTGATGAGCAGACATATATTTAACAAAGCTGATTCGAACAAAATTTATATCACAAAATTATCATACATACTTACTCTGAACATTTATGTTTAGTAATCAGGTCTATTATTAGTCAATTATAATAAAACACAATAAAATAATTTTTGTAATTTACTTAGACATTTAAATTTACTTATTTCAATACTTTTGTTTTTATTTGTTTTTCAGAAACTTTTTAACAGAAAGATTAAGAGTGAAAAGTTACGAGCTACAATGTTAATATCATTATCATCTTTGGCGAAGACATATTCCCGAAATAATCCAAAAAACATGAATTCTTTGGTATGTTTTTTTATTTTAATATTTTATTTTTAAAAACTGGTTTTTGTGCCTAATGTGGTGGTAATTTAAAAGTTAAACATGAACATTTTTAACAAATTAGCAATTTTTTGTAATGAGAAATTTTGCAATATTTTCTTCATTACTCATTTTTAAATACTAAACTATGTTTCCTTTATTTTAGATTGTACAAAGTGTCAGTGATATGTTGCTGCGAGAATTGTCTGAATGCGATCATGCTGGATGCATCTTGAATCATATACTTGCATTACGAAATGCTGCTTTGCCTCAACATATACCTACACTCCTGGAATATATTAAGAAAGGGGGAATTCTTGGACTTGTATCTTTGGAAGCCATAAAAGATATTGGTGAGCAGCATTTCACCAGAGAGGTTAGACTGTTGTTTGCATGTAAAATATAATTTTTGCTTTCTTTTGCATTCCTTTTAATATTTTATGAAATTACATTATTTTATTGTTTACTTATTTTATTTTTATTACTTTCACTGTACAAATATTTTAATTAGCTACTAGCCTGTTTATGTTTATTTATTTATTTTTGAATTAAAGAGCATTAAATAATACAGTCAAAAGTCTTTAATCCGGACTCGTCGGGACTTTGGCGATTCCAGATTATCGATTTTTCCGGATCATAGATCATCAGTTTAAATATGGTAAGATGGCATGCAGAAATTATAAAATTAAAAATATGAAACCATAATTTATGAAATAAAGAGCAATTTTAAGGGTATCAAAATTTACAACAAAAAAGCTTAATATTTATTTGTTTACTTTATTTAAACATTTCTTTCAATGAGCGCATGCGTAAAGCATACATTACGCATAGTCGAAATTAGAAAATTGCAACCAGAAAACTATTTGATTTGTATTCGTGATGTTTATAATGACGAGGAATTTGATTTAAATCATATAAAAGACAGAGTACATCAATATAAAATACTACATTTAGTAAGGAAATATAAGCTGAATAAAATAAAAACATCTGCCCTGAAAAGGATAGTGCTGACAGATCAACTTCCAGTTCATTGTGCCCCGCGATGTTCGCCTGCCCCCCGCGCAGAGCAGTGTGAAATTGATAAACAGATTTCAGAATGGTTAGAGAAACAAAGGAGCTTTTATCCATTTTTTTCAGCAATTCCACTTTTTGTTTGATGGACATCGAAACATGCTTTCCCTTTGTAGATCCTTTGACAACTCCTGAATCAGAAATTCTATTTGACATAATCGAAAGTTCGAACTTACTTTTATAAAATTGCTCTAACCGTCTGCAAAAAATAATAAGCTGGATCCAGTTCGAAGATTAAGGAACAACGCAATCTGCAACATTAACTGAAATAGATAATTAGATAATTTTAGCTTAGCTTATACTGTCCGTTATACATTAAACGCACATGCGTTAAACATATGTGCATGCGTACACGTATATGCGCATGCGCAAAGGTATTAGGCGCACGAGTCAACGCATTATGCACTGACGCATGCGCAGAAAGTTTGTAGCTTTCAGGTCCGGATTATAGATCATTCCGGATTATGGGTGTCTGGATTAACGACTTTTGACTGTAATCTGAATCAAGTAGTACTTTCTCTTAAAATAGACATATTGTGCTTTTCAGAGGACCAAACAAAATTTCATTTAGATTTTGTGCAGATTACTTTTTGGACATGTGCACATCTTTGCTGTTTTTAGCAATCTGTTTCAGCAAAATTTAAAACAGACTGCATATATATTTAAAGTAATTCATCTTTTTTTAAAAAAAAAAAATTGGAAATCAAGAAAATGAATGAACCATGCCTATTACACTTGTTTTCTTTTCAAAATATGAACTAGTTCTTGGCTGTTCATTAACGTTTAATCAAAATTTACATTACTAAAATAGATAAATGTATATGAAGTCAAATCTTGATATAGCAAACCCATATGATGACCAAAAGTTTGGTTCGCTATATCCAGTCCAATGAGAAAAATGGATTATTTCATAAAAATATGTAAAAATTAAATAATCATACCCCCCTCAAAAATATTGTCATATTTACCAAAAGTAATTAATAATAAATCTTAATTTATATTTAATAATAATTTTAAAAAATCATATACAGATCTAATTACAGTTATTATTAACATAGTTATTAATTTGTTGGTTGTATTTTTCAATTTCATTGCATTAATAATTTTACATGATAAATTACAGAGAAACATATCATTGAAAGCAATGATATTGATGAAAGCAATGATATATTATATATATATATAATAATCCTTCTCTTGAATTGCCTATTATAATTATGAATAATTATTTTATCCATAGCAATACAAAAATATTAAAGATGAATAACAAAAAATACTGCCAAATGAAAATAATCTGTAATTTTTTACTTGTGTGATGCAGATTGCAGAAAATTTTACCTATAATTACAGATCCAAGATTCAGTAACCTTTATAAATTTCCATCATAGCATCAGCCTCGAAAACAGCTGCAACTGAGACTGTTCAAGAATCTGAATGTAATCCAAAAGCCATTCATATTCTTTGTTGCAGACTCTTTGTTTCAAGCTTAGAGAAAAATGGGGGGGGGGTGAAGATAAAAGAGAAGTAACATTAAGATGTTTTCTTTTATGGATAAAATGTGGATTTTTACATCCTAAACATGGATGATTTGCAAGGTTAGTGTTCAGCCTCAAAGGGGCTATTAGTCTCGGAATGGGTTTTGTGTTGGTTCACTATAAATGGTGTATCACTTTTCAAATTAATGCCACCAAATATTATTGCTCTGTATTATTTTTAAAGAAATTAAGTTTTGAAGAATTTGCATGTATGTTTCCTTGCATTGTGAAAAAATGACGGTACCTATGCCCATCAAATTTTGAATAATGTAGTCATCCACCTAAACATGTGCACTTGGAACCCTAATTCTGAATTTGTTTTATTATTTATTTCATATTTTGTGAAATTTTAATGAATTTTTAATTAATAAACTCAACAATTTGGAAGTGAGCCATAGCAACACTGTTCAAAATAAAACGTTTTACTTCTAGCATGCGAGAGTGTTGCTATTAGGAAAAATGTAACATATTTATCTTTCAGTTTTAATTAACAAACTTGGCTTTATGAAAGCAATGTGTTAACATGGCTGGAAATAAAATACTGTTATCTTCTATGTGCTTGCATGTTGCCATTCAGTAAAGTCTAATATACTTCCAAATTTAATCTGGAAGGTTATTGAGTAATAGACTAAGCAATTTAAAAGCAATAAACACAGTTTTTAAGAAATTTTTTTCTACTTTGTAATGTGATTTGTTTAAATAAACATGTATTAAAACCATGAGATGTCTAATTAGAAATATTCAATATGTTTATGAAATTACACTAGCAGGACTCATTAAAATCATTATATACCTTTCCTTTATTATGATAACTACTTTAGGGGCTGGCCATTTCAGCGGCTAGTTTTTAAAGAAATGATGTAGTTAATATAAAATTATGTATAGCAACCTTTAACATTCTATTGGGATATGAAATCTTTTGTGAATTTAAATCTTTGTGATTTTGCTGTTGATTTGAACTTTATGTGGTGTAAGTGTGAAGAACATGATATTTAATAAAGTCAACACATAAAAAGTTAATAATAAAAAAAAATTTGTTAAACCATTTTACTAAGAAAATTGAATATTGATATGATGAACTGAGAAAAGACTGAAAAAAATAAAGCGTATTTCAACACTGAACACTGCATCGGGAATTCAAAATGTATGCTGTTATTCAACTTAATTTTTTTTTTTTTTTTTTTTTTTTTTTTTCTGAACTGATTGTGGTGAGAGTGCAAAGAAAACGATGCTTAATAATAAAGCTAAAAAGACAAAAAGAAAAAGCATTATCAGAAGTGAGTTTAAGAGCAGACTGGTAGACTGCGAGCTCATCAAAAGCGTAATAAATCTTGACAAACTCTTTTGTGTGACCGTTAAAATCTGAAACCTTTCAGAGGTTTAAACTTTCAAAAATCCTGGAAAAATATAAAAAACATAAATTTTTAAGTGAAGATATCTATACAGTTTTGTATATCTGATTTTCATACCTCTGCAGGTTTGCTATGGTAGTATAAAATAACATAGTGTATAGGAAATTGGAAGGGACCAAAAGATTTGTTCGTTATAAATAGTAGTTTGATGGGAGTTTTTTTTTTTTTTTTTGATAAAAGTAATAACTGAATTGCTCATAAAATGTTGATATGAATAAAGGAGATTTTTTAATTTCATTTTTTAAGTTGCATACATGGAATTTATACTTTTAAAGATAAACTCAGTTTTATTTTAGTTCTTACAATAAGCTTCCTTTTAAAGGGAAAGAAGTCGTATTTTACTGATTTCAGTATATAGTCTGAAATTTATTTTTCTTAAGCTTTTATTTTTCTTAAGCTACAGATTTCAGAATCTGCTGTAAGGGTAAAATATAATGTCAAAAATTCATATGAGCTTTTATTTATTATATAATATTTTTGTTATACTGTGTTTTTAACTGATCTTGATAAATGTGTTTATATGTGTAGTCTTTCAAAATACATTTCAGTGGTTTTTTAGGTGAATGATGTTTTATTAAAAGTTTATAATCAGTTTTGGCCTCATCAAGAACCCGCTGCACGTGTACTAGCTGCTGAAATTTTGATAAGAAGCAACCCAACCATAGAAACTATTGGAAATATAGTATTATCACTATCAGATCAACAGCAACCAGAAATCAGTACACTTGTTTTGTCAAAATTGTATACTTCTATGCAAAAAAGTGACATTGTAAGGTAAAACTAGCTTTTTTTACTTTTAAAAAGCCCTAAAAGTGTAAATAATTTTATGTTTTGTGTGTGATTTATTACACTTATGTTATTAATTACTTTTTAATTAAAATTTTTTTGTACACTGTTGAAACTTACACTAGTTTTTATATACTTTATATCAAGAAAACATTCAATTGGAGAATTTCACTTTTGAAAGACTTAAAATTGTTTTTGATTTATTACAGTGATGTTAAATTCCAATTTAGCAATTGTCAAGAGGTCTAATGAAGATTATTGTTAAACTGAAAATGTGTCTTAATTAATTAAAAAAATTGTTATAAAATTATTTAAAATTGGTTTGTGAATGCTAAAATTTTTGTTTCTTACCCTTTGTGTAATTCTTTTATATATTTAAACATACAGACAGCAAAGATACTAATTTTAAAAAATTGTTTTAAAACAATTTTTTTTTCCAGTTTACAACATTTTAAAGCAACACAGATTATTGCTAAACCAATATTAATGCATATCATAGTTACACCCAGTCATTTATACACTCAGATTACTGTGCATGCTCTTCCTATTCACTTTAAATTTCTAGAAGAGTTTGAGATATAACTTTCAACTGCGAATAGTGATTGATGTAATCCAGGCCTCGGCAACCTTTTCTTGGCTGTGGGTCAGAATCAAACAAAATTGTGTGCATTAAAAAGACCTTTTAGGTCAGTGCTATTTTCATTTTAGAACAGTCTTTCTTGATGAATAATATGATAAATTTTGTTAATTACAATACATTTTAACATAAAAGTTAAAACTATAATTCTAATTATGAAAACAAACATAACTGAATGAACTTTTAATTTTCTTTTCGATATGAATGGCTTCCTTGATGGTGAACTTCTGACATCAGTTTAGTCAAGTCTGCCTTATAGTTAGTCATCTTAAGACAAACATCTGAATTTTCAGTAGTTAAGTTGCTCTTTTTCTTACATAAAATAAATTTCATGTATGAAAATATTTGCTCCCATTTATAAATTGCACCGAATGGCAGAGCCAATTTTTTGAAATTATGGATTATAAATCGGCACTGCCAAACTTATTTTTCCTTGAAGTTATGTTACAATTTTTATTTTTTAAAAATAAAAATGCATTTTTGTTACTGTAACTTTGTAACTGTAGTGTCTTTGTTTTTTAAGAAATGATTTTACAACAGATGCCTTTTGATTTTTTATTGTAAACAATAAGAAACATGATTCAAACAAATGGTAATATCATACTCGGCCCACTGCCAGATCAATTTATGCATCTTTTCATATCATCATTCTGTTCTGTTCTAATGGTATTTTTTCCTAGTGCTGGAAAAGCCAATAATTTATGCCTTTAGGGATTTTAAATTGGAGCATGACATTTATCATAAATTCAAAATCTCGCAATAAAATAGTATACTAAAAAATTTGTAACATATAATATTAATGAATTGCATTTAAAGCATGTTTTCATCATACTAGCTGCTATTATACATTTTATCTTACTAACTACTGGCACCTGGGCATGTAAATATATTAAGCATCCTTTGTTATTTATTCTTAATGAGTTCTAAATAAGTATGTAAGCATTTTATTATTATCTCTTAGGTCTTGTGTAAAAGAGGTGTTACGAAATGTCACATTTGGAAATTATAATAATTTAGCTCAAAATGGATCATCCACAAGTTTTATTAATATACTACAAGGTAAATAATTATATTCATAAAATCTTTAGCATATACATATTTTTTCTTTACTCTTTTTCTGTTGAAAATTACCGTAATTTCCAGAAGAAAGGCCACATTAGTGTAAACACTGCAGTCGAGAAAAATGGTGGAAAAAAAAATTTTAATTACGCAGAAACATGGCAATAAATTAAATCGTGCGTGACATCGTCGTGGACCGTATAGGCGAAAATTCTTGACCTATGTCCTAATATATGGCAAATCAGTTAAGAAAAATGCATGACATGAAACTAAAAAATAAAAGGTAAGAAATGTTGAAAATATATTTACGCTCATGAATAAACTTATATTTACCCACTTTATATATATTTAAAGAAGTCCATATTTGTCATATTCATACTATATTATGAAAAATTGCAACAACGAGATATTAAATTCGGATAACAAAAGAAAATTTAAAATTTTACTTACAAAGGAATTACAGCAAACTGTACATCAAATGAAGCCATCAAAATCTGGTTCTTCACTATCTGAATTAAAAAGATTTAGTAAATCCTGATCTAACTCCAAGTCTTCCAGATCGTCATATTCATCGTCTTTTTACAGTTTCTTTATCTGAAGATATAATTTCAGCTTCTTTGAACGCTGCTATTATTGACAATGTTTTCACTGATTTCCATTCACTTCCTACCCACTTTGCAACTTCTTCATAAAATGCTTTATGCATTTTGCCACTTCTGGTATACGTATGCAATCCTTCACTCATCCAACACTCCTACTGCTTTCAGACTTTAAAGTATTTATTACCTGATAAATGTAATGGTAAGATTTTTGTCAAACCACCAGGAATTATTGCTATGGTCGTAGACAGTTTTTTATATCTGATTTCCACTCACTCAAGTAAATGAGCACGCATGGAATCCATTACCAATAACATTTTTGGTTGGAAAAAAGATCCCTTACGACACCACCAAGCTTTTTGTAGCTACTCAGGCATGATTGTTTCGCACATCCATCCATTCTCGTGTGCGCAAATAATTATGTCATTAGGAAAATCTCCCTTTGGAGTAGATTTTTTTTTTTTTTAAATGATCATCAACTTTAGCTTGTCACTGTTTGTGGCACAAGCTAACACACATGTAAATTATGTTCTTTCATGCCCCATCGTAAGCACAGATACAGTTTTTGCACCAGTTTCATCAACAGTTCTGTTTGCAAGAGAGTCGAAAGTTAACAGCATTTCATCCATATTTTTTATTTGTGATGGAAGAAGGTTTGTTTTTGTGTGTGTGTATCAATAATATCTGTCACATATTTTAGAAAAGATGCCTTTTATACTGCCAGTCCATTGGTAATTGTTGCCCTACTGTTGTTCTAGCATGTACAGAAATATTTGTTTCTTTTCTTAAATCTGCTACACCAGCAAGGTCCTCCTTTAAATCATTTATGTTCATTTGTTTTGCCATAAATTTTGTTTGTAAGCGAATTTTTACAGTCGAAATTGCCATTCCCTTTCCTCGTTGCTGCTTTATCCAGTTTGCAAGGTCGTCCTCTAGATTCGGGCACCTTACAGTATCACTTGTTTTGGCTCTTTTCTGTTGTGGCATATTTTTAAGTTCTTCTTTTTCGGTTCTCCAACGTCGAATGCATCTCTTGTCCACTTCAAACTCTCGAGCTGCTACTCTATTTCCAATTTGTTCAGCACATGAAATTACATTAAGCTTAAAATCAGCAGTATAGCTTCTGTGCTGTTTAGGTGCCATTTTCAAAAATTTTCCACTCCCTTCTTACTTAAAAACTGTCCAACAAGTACTTATACCCAAACTGATATGATCTGTATCTGGCAGAATGCCACGAAAAATCGAATTATGCTGAAGGGAAAATATGTCAGAATTTGTTATTGCAACGCAGGTGGTGTCCGCCTTTGGAAAAAATTGCAGTAGATTTATAATGGAAAAGGCAGGGTGGGGAGAGGATTGGTCCTAGAAGATTAGGTCCATTCAAGGGAAAGAATGTAAACAAAATAAAGTTTGCAGAAAGCAACTGAGTGGTCTTTTGTGTGGGAACAGCACCAATCTATACAATGACAAGGTCATCCAAACTATGTACAATAACAAACTATGTACTATAACAAAGTCATTCAAACTATGCACAATGACATCATAGGAAATATTTTTTTGTGCACCTAAGCACTGCATGGGTAGAAATGCCACACCGGCTGAAAATTTAAGTTTTAAACACATAAACGCTGCAGCGTTTCTTCCAGAAATTATGGTATATCAATTATTTATTGATATTAATTACTAAGCATAATTATCTTTTCTAGTATATGGTTTATAACTTACAAGTGAGCATTTCTTAAAATTTTGATAATATGTATATATTTCTTTAAAAAAAATTCGCTTTTTAAATCATATATCTGTTGGTGACATAGAAGATTTTCTGAGAGGCTTTCTGTTACAGGAAGAAGTTAAGTTTTTTAGACTTAGATGAGCTACATAAAATAAAAACTTTAAACAAAAATTTTTCTTTCTTGAGAATTTTATCAAATAGATTTAGTTTATGTGTAAATAAATACAATAAAAAATAATATAAACTACCAATTTTAAACATCCAAAATGCTGTAACAAATTTATGAAAGGAATAAAATCATTGATTTATTAATTACGAATGTTGCTAGGTCTGACAAAACATGGAAAAGCTATCACTACAGTAAGTGCTTATAAATGAAGGTAAAACTAGTAATGTATATTATACTTTATCATTAAAATGAATCTGTCTATCATTTCAAATAACTTCATTCCTTTTGTCTTCCTTATATGATTTTTTTTCTTCTTTTTCAGAATCAGTAATTATTTGTGCTCTGATTATGTAAATAAATGTACTTATTTTGTATGTGGTTTTTAGCTACACATGATGCCAATGTCACATATGGCATAAATATGGAAATGCGTCCAACTGGAATGCTAAGGAGAACTAGCTTAGATTTGAACCTAATGAATAATCAAGAAAATTTGCACTTACTGTCAGTAAGTGAATTTCATAACCATTTGTTTTTAAGGGAAAAATATTGTGAAGCATAGAATTAGTTATCTAATAACAATGCCAATTTTATTTCCATCTGGGGAAACTTATATCGAGACATTTCACTGTTTTTATTAAAAAAAAAAAAAAAAAAAAATTCACCTTCATCTGTTTTGTGCAGTTTGTATTTAGATCTCTTTATATATCTCAGATTATTTCTTTTTTAGCCTGTACATTATCAGATTATTTGTATTTCAGATTATTTCTTTTTTAGCCCTTGAGTATTATTGCACTTAATTAGTTCTTTATAGCTTGCATTAAGAAATTAAAAAGTATGAAAGTGACAATTTTTGGAGATTTAAAATTCTTTGCAAAATAACTTGTAATTTCAAGCAAACTATACATTTGATGGTATATTTCTATGTTCATGGAAAATGGTATGAGGTAATTTTGTTTGAAATGTAAAAAATTATTATGCAATAACCTTGAAAGTTACATTTATCAGAATGCATTTACTTAATCCTGACGCTCTTGAAAATGCTGCTGGAATGCCTCTTTTGATGTCTGCCATAGACTGGCTAACGAGATGGCGGAATGTGTTTCTGATCACAGGAACTGAAGCTTTTACACACAAATGCTCTTGGTTCAAAA